TTACAGTTCGAATCATTGTGATTGTAATTTACTTATGGTAGACTGTAAATTATCATGGAAATGTTCCGTGATAGGACATATCGTAATCTGACTATTCTGTATTAGTCATTACATGTCTATGTTCGTAAATACTGTTGTCTGCATTAAGGGAGCAGTAGCTAAAATTAATATCTAATTCAGTAAATGATTCTAATGTTAATTGTATTAACTATGACTCATGAACTATTGAGGAATAGTATATAAATGCAGTATATCGTGAAATAAAGAAGAATTGTCCAACTTAGTGTTTAACGTAAAATACGAGGCGTTTAAGTCTTTGTGTAGTCTGCTAGTAGAGCAAAAGTGTTTGTGATAGTGCAGATATCGTTCCTTGATACGTGGTTCAAGGAATTGACTTATTGATCGTATATTGCGTTATCTTGTTGCAAAGCTGTTTTGTGACACTACTATATCAACGAAAGAACTGTGAGAATTTATGCCAAGTTAATTAGTTTTTCTTAATTATTGACGTCAACGTCATCGAAAAGATATTAGTAGATAGTGTACGCATAAATCGGCAGCAAATGTAATAGCCAGTACAAATTTGTAGCAGTCATCAGAGCTCTATATATATTTGAAACTTTAAAAAAATTGGATAATGTAATAAATTATTTAATGATGAACTAGAAGGTGATTATGCATTTACGTATGCTACTCCTTATAGTCTGCAAAACAAGTTTCTCTACCTTGATACTATTATTATGTATGGGCACAAATTTATTGAACTAGTGAAACATAAGGAGCAGTAATATCCAACTCATTGCTGTATAAAGAATGCACATTCTCTAAATACATATTAGGCTATAGTGCTATATGTTAAAATGGTAGTAACATTACGTATTAATAATACCATGAATACATTTAGGATTACTACTACACAATCGTCACCATTACTAGAGCAGGAAGAAAAATGTAAAACAATTTGTTAGAAGTTTATAAATAGATAGATTACTCTATATAAGGTGGTATAGCTTTTCAGTTACTTTACGAATATTCACGCTGTACTACAACCTGGCATAAATACATCTGTTTTCCATCCAAGAATGAAAAGACTTCTAGCTCTTAGAGCTGAAAAATACTACTGCTTATATAGACACATTACCAATCAACTTGATGATACTTCCTGTAATAGGAATTATAGTCAATTTCAAAACGAGCCAATTCTTTTTCAACCTTCAATTACTTTCCTAACCAATTTTTCAACTTTTTTTAATTTTAAACTATAAATTTCACTGGCCTCATAAAATCAACTGATAATTATTGGTGTAGGTGAAGATTAAAATTGGCCGATCAATATTGTTTGTCACTAATTACAGACCTATATCGTAGGAAGATTCTCCTTTATAAGAAACTGTGTCACATGTCAAATGTTCCTAAATCTGCTAGACAGGAATTGCTTGGGTTGCACAGTTAAAGAAATTCACACACATAGTTTAATTATGGTATTCAACAAGGTTAATATTAAATTAAAACATGATTCGATGTGCAATATCGAAATACCGAGTTAGAGTTACTAAAAATAAAATTATCGGCATAAATCCCCATTTCTTTTTTTTAAGTTTTATTCATGATAACTAAATGCTATGGTTTATGGAATCTATTACACCATCTTTATTTGCGTAGTATGAGTTTACAGTATAAGTTTAAACAGTTTTTACTATTGGTAATAAATGGATATTTGATGCAGTAATGTTATTTAGACCATCACTATCCTATCTATTTCTAAAGGCTTTCTTTGGGCGATTAGTGTGTAATATTATTAACTTAGGGGTAAATACTTTGTCTTCCAGGGTAAAGGCAGTCACATCTGTAAAATGATAAAATGAAATTATCTCAAGGAGAGATAATCATTTCAGTTTCTATTTTACGATGGTATATCGATGCACGTAATGAAATATATTAGTCAGGAAATATGATATCCTCGAATCAAGCAGATCTTATCCAATAAATAATTATTAGTAGTAGTGTATCCAACCTACCATCTATAATCTATTTCAAGTTGACAGTTTATCTATTGTTCGTATCACATCTTATATACTTAGCCTCAAACTATGATCAATAGACCATTGCATAACAGAAAGCATTATACATTCGTATAACACGCAGAAATCCATTTAAGCACTTGACAGGTTGAACAAATACCTTTCATTATTATCCGGTAATTCTGACAAGATTCATCAAACAAGTTTACTATGGAAGTACTCATTGTTTATAGTATATAAGCTTTTTGTTATTTTTAGTGCTATTTTGGGATTAAAAATAATTTTAAATTTTTCGGTCCTTTTGTATATAGTAGTCTAAAAAATTACAGTCAGTTCACTGATGAATTACAATTAAATGATGCATATAGCAAAATGTCGAACTTGCCTGAAATACGTAAGAACGGATGTGAACCATGCCAATATGCTTACATTCAGGTTTTTGACGTCATAGAAAATTATCGCTAATTAAGGTATAAAAATCAGGTAATTATATCATTAAATTATGGTAAAGAAAGCTAAAATATGCTTATAAATGCAATAGATCAATTGCAGTTAGGTAGAGCATTGCTGACATTCACTGAATGTATAACAAGTAGTTTACAGGGAAATTCCGTGAGGTCAAGTTGACTCTGGCTCGTTTTTGTTACTACTTGAGCTTTATCTTTTTGCAGTATATGTATTTTTTAAGGTATTGTAATATAAAGGACGTTAAAATAGATTAATCTTATAGGATTTACATCTGATATTTAGTATAAGACAATTGGTAATCTATCTAATATGATGTAATTTTAAGCAATGCTATAAAGATGTGACATTTATAACGTGACAAGAATTTACCTATAGGTAAAATAGAAATTGAAATTTGTCACTTATATTCAACTCCTTACGTTGTCATAACCACACTTGTAAATTTTCACCAATTAATTGCAAATTATTAACCCAAATTTACTGCGAATGAATCGATATTTCACTAGCATCTAGTAGATGAGAATTTTCATAGCTTTATTGTAGCGAAATTTCTATTATCATTGCAATGCTTTACAATAATTTTTCACTATCAAAGAGCATCATCTAAGTAGTCAAAGATCGAAATAAATCTACTAGTAGTATGAATAATTCTAAAAAGTTTCCAAGCTCAGCTTCTAGGTCGTTTTCAAAACAATGTAAAAGTTTATCTATGTAATTATTTAACTTCTACTGTTATCATAATCATAGATTTTAAAAGATTGTTAATCTAAGCTATCAATCTAATTAACAGATATAAAATAGTTAGAGATGTCAAAACTAAGCGTAAATAATTGGACTGAGTCGATGTCAGATGAGCGACTACTATTTCAAAGTATATAATAAACATCAATTTTGTTTCAAGGTATTACATTCTATAGCAACAATTGGTACAGGATACAATATTTTGATTCTCTACATGAATATATTCGAAGAATCATTATATAAATGAACTTAAATTAATATTACAAAACGAACAGATATGGATTAGAATACTAACATTCAATCGAATTTATGTTTGATTTTGTCCCAGACTTTCCCGTCCAAATTTATCCATTATTTTCAGTCACGAAATAGATAGATATTAATATTTAGAATGGAAGGTATGCATTCATTTTTGCCTGAATATTTTGAAAGGATCATTACAGGTTTATTAAATCTTAAATAATATCTTAAGGAAGAATAAATCTACATTAGCCCTATTACAATGCGATTTACAAAGAGTCAATACATAGATAAATATATCTTTCAGTTAAACTTTGCATTCAATTAGCTGATAATATAATCAATACTTTGTCAATACAGCCTTATTATCTATGCCTTTTATTATTAGTATACAATTTAGCTACTACATAATTTTGTATATTCCAATGGCCTTGCCGTCTTAAACGATATTGAAGAATACTATTAATAATCCTGATTTACAATACAGGTAATTAACCACTAACTAAAATGAAACGTCTTAATACAATAATCATAGTGAATTTATCTTATTTAATTTGATTTATATCTGATAAAAGGACAAAAGGGTTTAAGCTACGTTAATATTCAACCCTAGGAGGAATAAATTTCCCGGAAATTTTAATTCTTTATTAAATCCACGATTGACGTAGGCAATATTACATTAATATCTTCATGTCTACTGACTGAATCAAAAACATCTTGATTCTCGATATTATGTATATAAGCACCCCATAATTTAAAATAATCATTACTTTGAATAGTCACATATAATGCTATAAACGTTACCTATACGTTATATTGTCCTAAGCTATTCAGCTTTAAATGTCTTCAACTTACAATAGAAATTATAAATATATTTATGGAAAGTGTATTCAAGTAGGCTATTTCTATAAGTAGCTTAATTTTTTTAATACCTTTCATCATTATTTGATTGATGTCCATTTATTGTATAAGATAAATTTTTAATCTCTATTAAAGTTATTAGAATAATACTTAGCTTAAATATGATGACGCTTGTATACTATGAAAATTTAATGTAGTTTATCAGCTGTAGATACCCCTAAAAATAAATTTCTTATTCATTTTTTACTAGCAAACAAGCTATTGATGATGTTTCTATGAAATATTATTACAGAAACTATTTTTAAATTCATTTTATTAATACCAGCCAACATCTATGCATTGCAGACATGCATCATTATCTATCTAATATTGGTATTGATAATTAAGATAGGCTGAGATATAAATTATATGCGGTCATAGTGTAAACATCACTTTCGTAGCTAGATCATAACCAAATAAGATTTATTGATAACGTGAAAATAGAACTAATTTTAACCCTAAATCTGGTCAGATATTGACTGTGTTAAAAGTGAAACTTATAAATTCTAACATTCTTACGTGGTATCACGATAATTAATTATTCAGCACAATATCTAAATCACGCCTGCTCATTAAGGAAGGAGATTGCCAGCGAGTTATTCTATTTACGATAATTGTAAAGATGTGTTGATGGCATGGCTTGTTTATCCATTGTACGGCCAATGTCAATCATCGTTGTTAATTTGCTTAAGCCATGATGGCGATGGTATAAATAGGAACTGATTATCGCATTAATAACATCATCATTCCTGTTTCAAACTAGGCTGCACTAAAATTCTATTAAGTAAGCTAATAATTATAGGATACTTTCTTGTTGCACTATTTTCAATTACCTTAATATTGATTTTAGTGTTCACTTTTTATATAATTATTGCTAGGACAAGATTTAACATCATTTCTACAAGGAAAAATGAGGGTCTCTTTACTGCTTATGATTGCGATGGTAGCCATCTTGGTTATAACAACTGCTGAAGCCAGGGATTTACCATTAAGAAGAAGACTTGATGAATGGTACAGTAATAAAGTTACTAGAGGATGTGGTACATTGATCTGCAAAGATGACAATGATTGCTGCGGCAAAGACGAATGTTGGTTTTCCCCAGGCTCATGTATTCCACCTAATCCGATCGGTTTCTGTGTCCCCGAGCAATTTCAGTGCTAAAATTCAGCTCCATTTCACATAAACAAATAGCTTCGAATTCGTCATGAAATTAAATTGGTCGATGACCACTATTGAGGGTAAAGTTTAGGCAATCAATTTAGTTCTATCTCATATTGCTGCCTTTCGTATCCTATGTAATCGTACTAACTTAATTAATTCTAAATCTTTCGGGCAACAGTTACGCTGTCTTCTATTAATTACATGTACAATGTCTATCTTTAAACAATTTGTAACTCCGTTGTTATAGCTAACGCTAGTTGTATACCAAGAAATGTGACTTTAAAATACATCTGTCGTATATTGCGAAGATTGATGTAGATCTATGGTATTAAACTAATCATTCTTCAATTCTATCGCTAATCTCGTGTATAGTGTGGTTGAATAAAGTGTATTTAAATTCAATATATCAAACTAATAAGTCTCTATTTGTCTCTTTATTATTGCTTTACAAGAAAAAAGTCATAGGAAATTAGCGAATGAAAACCTTATTTATTCGATAGAGATCCTTAAGCGAAATAAATAATATAATCATTCTTTTGACTCAAGTACATGTCATAAATTCAGAAAACATTACTAATGATTATATATTAACTTACTAATCACTAACAATACGAATAATATTCTACTGTATAAATATAATTATAGTAGGAATTAATATTAAAGTAGGGTATTGTTGCCGACGGTCTAAACCGAATCACTTAGATCATCTGATCTTTAACTACCAGGTATTTGTTTATTATGAGTTATTAAAATTCTTTTATTATTTATAATTTACAATTTTTAATTTTCTAGTATTTTCATCTATTGTGAAATGAGCGTCATACAGTAAATGGAGAACCATAATTAGAACGAGAATTTAGAAAATTTTGATCAGTCGCTGTCTTCACAACAAGCACTGCTGCATATATCATTTACGAGAGTTATTTTCAGATAACGCTGCGTAACCATGATCTACCACGTGCAAAACCTACAGCATCTATGCGTAATTAGAAGAAATGTTAGCCCATAAACTGTTAACGGCATCCTTATAAACTTCTTCTAAGAAGGTGTTACGGTGATATCACATCGCAGAGGAGTTAGCGATATTTTAGTGGCACAGCTTTATTTAGACTTTTAGATATTTCATACTTTGCATGTCTTATGCTGTAATATATATCTAACTATCATTGTATTAGTTCTCGAATAACTATGTATGTCCCTAAATATTACCACATTAATTAAGCATTTACGTATAAATTTACTACTCGATTTTTTAGGCACTACTGATACTAATTATGACTTCTAGCCATTATGGAAAAGTATATGCTCTCGTCACTTTGTATAATAAAGTTATTTACGGAATTGTGATATATACCAATCACGAAATTCCAAACTTTAGAAAAATAAGGGCTTTATTCAATCTTATACAAAGATTAACTACACACAGTTCTACTCTAGCCGAATACTACTACTAAAGACTTCTAGAACGAACTAACAGAATAATCTAAAGTTGCATGCTTTTATACATTTCGTAGCATTCGCAGCTACAATCCGCATGGCAACCTTTTACCTTATTTTATAAATAGTAAATTATTCTTAGTAACACAATTCTACTGCGGACCATCATTAATCCAATATGGATACGACTACAGTACTTACGTAGACATTATTCACACCAGCCAAAGTACAATGAATTAACCATATCCTAATATATGATTTACAGTTCTATTTTTACCTATAACCTTATTAGTAACTCAGCACCTTACTGTATATAGTCATCTATACTCTAGCATAGAGTCTATACCACTACAGTCTATAGTTATGGCTACCAAATATCTCTTAGGATAAATATCTACCGTACATTATACTAAACATGGCTAACAGTCTACTATCACAATACTAGTTACATTACAGGAATTTAGTACCGTACTTAACGTAAAGCTAAAGATGAGCATATCCCTAAGATTCTTTAGTATTCTAAACTGTGATCAATAGATCGACTTAATGCGCCAGATATACGCATACCGATAAAGGAATTCTTAAATTAGTTTGTCGGTTATGGGAAAGGAAAAGATTAGCTTAGGAGGTTCTATATTATGATCGTTTACGAAAACCGAAAATAAACGGTAAGTCCTGATACGGTGACAGAAAGGAAAGAACTGTTTTGTAGACGAGAGAAATTCCACCAGAAATTTTGCTAATTAACTAAAGTTTAAAAAGGATTTGAAATATAGATAGAAAAAAAAACAGCGTAGTATGTATCCCAATTAACCGCTGTCGGTTGAAAAATAAAGGTTATAGCCTGACTGGTTTAAAGTATTGAAATTTTCTTCCGCATTGATACTTTATCCTACTCTATAAAATAAATATTCGATGCTGAATAGCAGATCTATCACTTCAATAAGGAAGTTATTAAATTGAACAATTGGTTAATAAACTGCAATTCCAGTTGATTGAAGAGAAAAATGACTGCATTGAAATGGATAAATATCTTGTAATAAATTTCTGTATTGTTTAAAGGTGAGTTTCAGCATTTTAATTTAATAACTTAGGACTGTAATGCAATGTTGTTATTATGATATAAAAAGTATCTAGCCTATGAGAAAAATATTGCGAATAGATATCCTCATATTTACAAATCAAATGCCTTTACCTCTTCTAGTATTGATTTATCGACTAATTTAATACCATTATTGATTATTAGTTCGTTAAGTATTTGATCTAGATAACCATTTCTTAGAGTTTTAACTGACTCTTTACAATTTTAGCTAATTCCATTAGAATACTTTAATGTTTGCTTACTCCAGAAATTTTATCCTTTTCATCTACAATAGATTGGAAATGGAGTGTTTACTCTTTATCTATACACAAAAGTAGAGATAATAGGAATAAAAGAAGTGAAATCGCGCATACTAGAAGGAACGGTAGCATATGGAATAGGCAGAAAATCTTCTTTCAGCAATAACGACATTGCGTATTTCTGTAATTTACTGTACTTCCGGTATCATTAAGAAAATATTTTCAAATATGTAACTGAATTTTAAGCATTACTGGTATATGTTGATGATCAAATATTTACCAAAGTACATATATAAATCTTAAAATTTAATTTAATAAACATAGTGAAACTACGGTATCCAGTACTGAAAGAGCTATTATAGAAAGGTGCTTATTCTACTTTGGATTCGTTAACGACCATCCATCATTTGTAAATTGTAAAGCTCCCTAACGTAGTATTACAACTGTTGCTTGATAAGAAATGATTGTATTGGCAACTTCAATTTCGATGTACATGAGACTAATAAATTCGCAAGTTTGATCATTTAAGCATTTAATAGCTCAAGCAGGATTAATATTTAAGATATACATCATTTTTATTGAGTTGGGATATATATTTGCAAAGATGATTAAAATTGAATCATTTATCTACTGTTCAGGTATACAATTCGTTACAATCTCATCATTCACTATAACTACCATTAACAGATGCAACAACGATTGCCCTGTACTAACTTAAAATACTGTCAATTATTTACATAATCAACCTTGCATGAATAATTAGCAAGGATTATATCGTCCGATAACCTTTATCGAAAACAGCATAGTAACGCCTTTGGGCAAACTGAGCAAGCACAATATATTACAGATTAAGGTGAAAAGCAGTATAAATACCATATAGAGAGAGCAGCAACATGTAAATTACTCGGTATTTCTTAATAATCCAGTGGATAAGGTATTATTTATATCGCTTGTTCTACAACAAATTTTTACCTTTAAAGCTGCAAATCAAGTAAAATCCATTTAAATCGGTATATAGAAAGATGTAATAGCTGGCGTGTCCTATTTATTAGATTATTCATAGTTTAAAGCCTAGATAGTCGAATAAACGAACATTATTAGATATTAGGTAATTATCATTACAAAGAATACATTTAATAAAAAATTCGATCTTGTAGTAAAATTAAGAGCCATATTACCCAATGAGCAGGATATATACAAGCTATTTATAGAGCGATATAAGGATTTAAACACGGGCTTTCAAGATTTAAATTGGAATTCAACACTATATATGTAATATTGCGTGGCTTACAGCAGATACAGTATACTCTGTGTATTCATACGGATCTCTATTCTCGAACATAAATTAAACATCATGTTAGCATCATTATTGAAGCTTAGTATAACTCGATGATTTTGTAGGATAGAGTTTGGGTAATTACAATTTCTAATGATATCTCACTTAAAAAAAATTTGCCCTTTTAGGTATTTTACGGTTACTTAAATTATCGGCTATTAATTATCGTACATTCAGTATCTTACTAGGAGAGATGAAACAAACTCAATTATTTTTCTTCATAACCACATATCTCAATCTTTTATATAAGAAAACTAGGGGAGGAATAAATGTTTAATTATTGATAGCATATAAATTTTAGACCATTTCTATTAACATAATCCGTAAAAATATAATTATAATTCCAGCTGTATACTGTAAATTCAATGCTACATTATCATTGAAAGGAATAAGGAATGGGAAGGCTATTATAGATTTATAATTAAAAATTAATATGGGAAGATTCAATGCCTGAATTTGCTTTGAATAACATTTTATAGCACACAAATAATTAAAAATTCACGCCATTTATTTTGTTACGTCACGAAGACATCAATGTCATTTCTAGACGCCACGGTCCAATGATTAACGATTGCTCCAACGCAAAATTTAAGAAAAGTCCTGGAAATAAAACAGCACATAGATGTCAAAACTTAATTTTGTTACGATTTCCGTTAAGAATAAAAAATCAATTCTTATAAACATTAATTGAATGAATTTAAATCAATCATCTGCAATAGGAAACGAAATGCAAATTAAATGTTAGAATGTGGTACACTACCGCCGATATTCACTATTTATAATGCGGTGATGCGAAATTATGTCAAAGAGCTCTTTAATAGCAATAAGACATCTGATATTATTGATGAATATCAATCATCGTAAAATCGGTTCGATAAAAGTAAAA